TAAAATTCCGTTTAAATATCATAGACAATTCTTGAGAAATACATGTAACATATATCTAATTAATATAAACCATTTAACAAACGGAACTTTATCAAATAACATTAACATTACATTTGTCTTAGCTTCATATGCAGCACGCTCCAAGAGAACAAGACCTGAGAATGAAAATAATATCATCAATACTTAACAAATTTGGTTTAAGGTGTGTATATATGTATGTGTTTCATTTTTAAGATAAAAGCCTAGGACACATTTGCCATGCGATGCGATGTCCGCACAGTGTCTCTTTTCGGCATTTGTGCGGAGGCGGACAGAGAACCGGGTAGGGCCTAAAATAGTACAGACGATTTTTTCAAGTTGCCTTTTGACGATTTTTTCTGCCTGTACGTGTTGTGTCACGTGGTTGCTGAATAAAACCCACGGGGACCGCATCAACGAGTCAACCTCAAGAAAGACGCACGGATGACATACGGCATCTGCAGTGAGATTGAAAGGACTCCCTGCGTGTGATCACTTTTCAAAGGACAGATCGATTTGGCACGGCACCTCTTCATAATATTAACATATTCACCGAAGCACGTCGAAACATATTATGCCCCCCAAAATTGCACGGAAAACCATATGCTATTTCATCGTACGGCGTCCGTGGCAAATGTAACCTAAGCTGAAGACTTTAATGAGCGTATATTTTCATTGTGTATGACAAAAAAAGTTTTTCAATGTTTGTAAGACTCTTTATACACAATATGTTTTTGATATTTTTATACACGCTATGTACAGTAAATACATCTTAATCCAAAAGCGTATTGGAGAGGGGGCGGCACAGCGAGCACGTGGCTCACGCTTAGCTTTCGAGGCCACTGCTTCTCTCCCGTCTCCATAAAAATTAAATAAATAACTTAAGATAAAATACAGTATAACAAGGGGGCGATATAAACCAAGTCAATATTTGAACTTATATATAACAGTTAAATTATTTTCGTCTTTGGTGGTATTTTTTCACATTTAATGCACTTCCTCTCCCCCTTATTAAGATCCCGAGATGCACGCAGTATTGTAAGTGTCATACTAACCTAAACTGAAGACAACATACCCTACTCCCAGCGTTGGAATTGGATGAAGAAATGCATCAGCGAAGGCCCCACCAAATATCCCAAAACACGCTGATGCACCTGTCAAAAGAGTACTGATTAAAACGATATTCAAGTTAATACCCTAGTCATACTTGAGGCGGAATGAGAATTCTTTGTACATTCCTTTATATTTAACCCATTCTTGTGGCCGGCCCGAATGTTTTGCTCATGCACAAAACTTTCGAAGTGCATTCCAAGTGGAGAAATATCGAATGGCATTCCAAATGTATTCTAACTGTACTATGAGTGCATTTTTAATGTTCTTACGGCATTCCAACAGCATTCGAAACATTCTAATCGCATTTGAGGGAGAACCGAAATGGCAAGACACTACAAATCCTGCCAGAATGTTCTGCATGTGCCTCAAATGAGATGGAATGCAACTCGAATACATCTCGGTTGCTGGCCGAAATTCTATTTCGACCAACAATCGAACTACACTCGTGCAGGATTCAAAGTGTAGGCCTATTCTAAATATTCTGACTGCATTCTGACATCGATATTACTGGTGTGTTTTAATTACATTCAAGCTGCATTTGACAGCTACATGTAATACACCCGAAATGTGCACAAATCATTCCAGGCGGATTCGAAGCGCATTCTGAGTATTCCAACGGTATTTTTACAAGAATTTAGGTCAATTTAAAATTTCTTCCCGAATGTGGTGCGAATTTTGAAAATTTTACATTCAAGCTCATTCTGCTTGATTACTGCTGATTCCAAATAAATGTGACGGGGACCTTAAAGTTTATGTCGTTGTAGGTTGATAATTAATGGAGGTCTGTGAGAATTGATACTATGCATGTATATTTTAGTATACAAAAACTGTATAATCTACTGTTGATGATAACTGCCTTCACAACAAGGGGGCAAACGTGACTTACGTCATAGTTATTACGAGCATAGAGATAAGCACAGTTAAAAATGACGCACCTCGCGTTAAATCTCAGTGGTTAGTCAGTTTAAATAAATATCAAACAGGTTTTTGCCAAACAGATAAGAGTTATAGAGCCCCAATTCAACAATATTGTTAGGGCCCTCTTTGTCCACTGACGTTAAGCAAAGTGCAATTGACAAATTTAGCTTAGTAATCCAAACCGTTTTTATGCCAAAATGTACACGTACTGCGTATAAACATTTTGTCAAAGAATTTATCACGAAATATTGTACACGAGTTATATTACTCTATTAAATAAGAAACCCCATCTCATGCATACAAAATATTTTTCTTAATGTCTAAAGAGACAAAATGATGGACAGCAAACAAACAGACAGACAGGGGACAAATAATCGCCATTGCAGAAGACAGACAGACAGACAGGCAGACAGACAGACAGACAAACGTAACAAAAGGGCAGAAGCTACTGGTCACATAACATCTTCCGGTTGACAATCATTTTCTTATTTTCATTACTTACCTACAAACATCATATGTGCAATTACTGCATCATCTGTTGTGTTGCTTGAATTTGAAGTCATATTCCATAATTCGTTTACGTAGTTTTCGACCGTAAAATAGGCAGCCCGCTCACACATTAATGCCAGAAGTACCAGCAAAGCTGATTGAGAAAACGCCATTGTGAGGCGTCTATCTATCACTGAAAAACTACCAGGTCAATTTTGACAGACACACTGCGTCACTGCGTTACTGTTATTAGAACAATCGTTTATTAAAACAAGGAATTTTATCAGAAAACCCTTTAAACCTCCTTCTGATGCAAAACCCTCGTTGTTGCATTAATTAAAGTGAAATTTAAGTTAAGATATTAAAAAATTCTGTCAGTTATTGATAAGTGCCCCGGTACTTAAAACGGCACGCATCTCCAAGGATGTAAAAGTACGCTGCACAATGATAGAATACCTTCTTATCAGGAGCCGGGGGTGAAGTTTAGTCAGGTAGTTAAGTCACGTAGTAACCAGGTCAGTAATAAGCGCAGATCAAAAGGGGATGAGGGGAATCCCCCATCAGACATCACCATAAATTTTTACCCCACCCCTCACCCCATCCCACACACCCCACTTAATGTTTGCATCCTACATGCCTGATACTTAAATGATTAAAATGAATAAAATGTCATATACTAAAAATTGTTAGAGTTACAAACTTTGGAAGGCTAACAAGCAAAAAACCTTTATCTGCCTTTGAAAACGACAGGTAGAGTACTGATTGATCAAATGAGTTGGAGAAATCGCGAGAGGCTGCCATGAGTTCTAACATGTACGGTAGTTTCCGTCAGTAACCTGCTGACTGTCAAATAACACGTTGGCCCAAGCTAAGATCCAACATAAAGCAGGCAATGAAAATTTTTCAACATGAATAATGTAATTACGGGCCTTGTGAGACTCTAACTAATGATTGCGTTTGTTGCGAATGGTGTCACATTCAACACACCACGTATTAGTCTCTTGGCCTGACCATGAAACAGATGGTATCAGCATGTACTTTCATGGCCTTGCACATATATATAAAGGCCTCCTCCATTAGCTCCATTTCTCCAGGTTTCTGCCAGATGCATCAACCGTCAGTCCTTTTTCGTGGCATGCATTTTGTACGGGGGTAAAACGTTTTTCACTACCGCTCAACTGTCGCCTTTCAAGATCAATGAATCACAAACCCACTTTGTAAAATGTACTTAACATGGGTGGGATTTTGATTATCAAATTGTTTTTAAATATTTATTGATTGTGCTCCTCAATATCACTCTGAGTTTCAGAGATAACCTGAAACTTACCTCTAAACTACACCATTACCTTGCCGTTATAATTTACTTTACACAATCTTACGAATGGCGTCACATTCGACACATCACGTGGTGTGTCTAATGTGACGCCATTCGCAACAATTTTTATATCTTGATTGTGGGTCCCTGTTGTGAAATTTGGATTCGTAGGGAAACCTATCAGCTTTACAACCAACAGCCAATTAAAAACAAACAACGTCACTCTGTTTATTTAACAATGCTATTCCTCTTCAACATCGTAAGACCGCAAATTGCCAATCCATTTGATCACATTTTCTCTTTGCATCTGTACTTTTGAATCTTACGTAATATGCACTATTGTTGGTTGTTATAGTAGTTGAAGATAAGATGATAAAAGCATTAAATTTCTACAGAAAAAGAAAATGAATTTCACAGTTACGGCGGTCACCATCCTATATCCCATTCGCTTAATGTGGTGTGTTTCCAGCAAATGTCAAAAACTGTGATGGATTAAAAGAATAGAGAACAATGCGCTCGCTATGTCTTGCTCAAAATTTGGCAGGTATAAGCAGTGCGTTTCAGAAATTTAATACTGTACATTACTTCCGCAGGATGCCGCTGAGACATTCTAATAGTCCAGGGGTCCCTTTTTAATAACCTTTTCAATTCAGGACAATTTTAAGTTAAATAAAAGAAGTAAAGTTTCAAGACTTTGTTCTGCTAACAAATCACAGCGTCATCTGCGGTAACGAGAAAAGATCACATTCAACGTCTATTTAATATAATGCAAGCACAGTATGTTTCTAGAATGTCTGTCAGTTAAAACATAAAGTGATCTTAATTGTTTCGTATTTGCAACTTACTCTTCTATACACTTTTCGTCAATAGTGATAATATTTTCTCTTGTATGTGCCGTTCTTGGCATGATTAACCTTATATCCGTGTGTGTGAAATAGTGCTTTCGTGAATAAATTGCCAAAGAAATAGGAAACTAAGTAATTAATTACGGTAATTGATAATGCGGATCTTGTTTTGGGAAGTTCTTCACCTCCAGTTATTTTATGTTGGCAACTGCATGTACGTGTACATACAGTAGGCCTATGTTTAACAACATCGTCTTCGTTGTATTGAGGACTAGTACATTATCGCAAGAAATGATAAAATGCATGCAGAATGAAGGACACAGGTTTGGATCATCCATGCACCATTGTTACTGAAACAAATATAATTTGCAATACATGTAGATGCAGATCTGCCAATTTCACCATAGACCCTTATATTTATATTTCATCTCAGTCTGGTGTAGCCTGGTCTTTTCTTTGGAATTCTTGTGACCATAGGGAAGATGAGAGAAAAAACGACGCTTAACAGGACCAATATACCCAGAAAACTTTCCAATTGAGAATCGCCACCACAGATGTCCCCTAAATCAGACAAATGCCAGTCTACAAAGAAAGAAAAACAATTTATTATCTATAATTATAACATACAGTGACTTGCCTTAACTGTAACCTAAACAAATTTTAATTTTCGTATAATCAAACAATGGCAATTTTAATAACATGCTTTCAAAGACATTATTTATGCTTGCGACCACTTCTACATGTATATACTAGTATAGGTTCTTTCGTACAGGATTGAGATGAACGAAACGTGATGAAACAAATTAGTCGTATAAATTCCAAATCTTGTTAAGAAGTATTACATCTATTTGGAAATGTCGATCACAGGTTAGACCCATTTTGGAATAACATCACTGTTTCATTATTTACCAGTTGCCTATGCCAAATGGTACAATGGCCCCTTAGAATATGTTCGATATTCATGATAGACATCTTACCTGGCCGAGTTTTTCTCACCAACGCTTCAATTCCAACTGCAATCAAGTATGAAAGGCCCAGCGCCGCCTGGTGTAGGCCCATGCTAAAGCACTTTATACCATCGGAGGCCTCCATATAAGAGTACTCCATCACTGAAAATATGCACAGGTTTTCTTCTGTCTTTTATATATTATGTTTTGAGCATAAAATAAACCGCAAATCACTTAATTTTTACGAATGGGTCCCCCATATCACATAGCACATTAATGATGGTGTAATACTTTTGTAACCCCTGTAGCTGTTTTTTATACATATGTATTGATAACATGCTGACCAAAAAAAACCGACCTATTTCCTTCGTACTTCCTTTCTAACACCCCCACGTCCACACCACCAACAGCAATAACACACAAAAACAAACACACACTGCCAAACCCTATATAAGGAGATATGATGTGTACTGTACATGTACCTGCAAAATGTATCAAGTTAACAAATACGTTGTAATTCTTTTAATTTCAATCTGTTGGAGCCAAGGGTCGGAGTCAAGTGGCCACGATTTAAGCCGTGAACAGAAAGGTTTCTTTGGATGACGTGGACGAATATGTGAATTTCTGTCTTCACATCATCGGTATTTTAAAGTGATACTACGTTCGGATAAAATATGTTAACGAAGCATATCACACAAAAAATGATCGGCTATTAGGTACGAGGAGGACGGTATCGGAACCTGTGAACGGAGTATTTCATGTTGGCCCAAATGACCGCCATATATACAGTACACGTTTACGAACTTTACAAACATTATGACCATAGGTTAACATGCTGACTTCAGTTGAAGAGGAAAAAACCAAGCTGCAGCTTAGAAAAAAATATAACCACTAGTGAGCTGCTTGAACACGTGTCGAATGTTGCCGTGTTTCTAGTCGTGCTGCTTGACAAGAATGGCGAAATACGATTGAAAAATATAGAGGAAAAGACATGTGTAAGAGTACCTGTAAGCTCTGTAAAAACTTCAGCGAGTGCAATCAAACTATATTGAGGTCCTTGGGCAAATATACTGATTGTGGAATAGCCGTGGTTGTTTTCGCTGTCTTTTTTCCGAACTGTCTCTAGCATGATGGCGACAAACCCAGATATGACGGAGAAGACCATGCCAATACCTAAGAAAAAATGATAGCAAGGTTTATTTCTTAAATAGAGCATTAGTCATGCGAATTGTTATGCCAATTATACATGTATACAGTTTGTTAAACGAAATGCGCTTTACAGTTATATGCACTATGAAATTCAAATTAACCTTAACATGTGATCTTTTTCAATACTACAAATTACCACAGTATTGACATAAAATTAAGTGATATAATGAATATGTCCTAAAACACAAAAAGGGGTTAGAAGATATTGTTCATAAAAACTTTAGAATGTAGTTTTTTTTTAAAGATACTTTAAAAATCCCATAATCATTATCAGTTCCAAAATAAGAAAGACAGGTCATTCCTAAAATAAAAAAAGGACAGGTTATTCTTGAACTCAGGGCATAAACTGTAAAAAAAATATTTTGTTATTCGGAGTAACTGCATTTCTACGTAGTGTTCTTTCATTTGAAATAGAATATACAGTATGTTGGAATAAAAAGTCTCTGAATATAGCCCTGATAAAAAATAAATTTATAATTAAAATTGATTATCATGAATTTCAAATAGCAGCTGCATTTCCGTTTTAACAGTTTTAATCATTTATCATTTTTTTTTTACGTTGAGTGCATTTTGATGAACTATATATATATATATATATATATATATATATATATATTGACTTTCTGTACGACTTAATTGCAAAATTGCATATAACAACATGTTTTCAATACTTACATGTCTTTGTTATATAATGCGGTCCGCCGCGGGGACATAGCCGTGGATAAAGACAGTAGAGAGTAAAAGGGATGACAAACACGATAACGACCTCATTAAACAAGATAAGCTGAGTTGAAGGAGATGGAAACAAGTGCCCAGCCACAGTTCTGTTAAGTCCAGATGCTTGCAACTCGTATACTGTAAGCATCTGAAAAAATTGTATGGTATGAAACTGCAATTCAAAAATGAAATAAATTGTTGGCAAATTGTGTTTGATCAGAATTCTTAGTCTTGATCTACTCTCTGAAAGAAATGACTGATTTGTGAGAGACAGAGAGAGGGGGGAAGAAATGTCGGTTTCACTTGATTTACTGTTAATTGTTTGATTGACTGATTGATTTCATCATACCGGCAAGTAAAGAAATCCGAACCCAACGACAGCAGAATTGACCAGTAGAATCCTAAGAACTGCTCTTAAATTCCATCTTCGTAAGGTATTATCCCTTCTACGATATGATGTACTCAACAGGCACCCTTTTTTGCATAACTGAAACGCCGATGACAAAACATTGGGAAGCGCTGTATCTGGAATGTAAAACAAATGTACCGGTAAAATATGCATGTTTATATACTAGTAGTGCACAGGGTAAATACATCTAGGGGTAATTAAATGCTAAGTTGACGATGACGTTATTTGATAACAGGCACTGTGTCCGCATGTTATTTTCACCAGAAGCTTAGGGACCATTCCCGGACCCTATCGTACTAACTGTGGATCGATCTATCTCCGAGGGGATTGTCGCTAAATTGCAATTAACTTAAGCGGCTTAGGTGTCTGTCATGAGCTGCTAGAGGTAATTAATTATCATTTAGCAATTTCAGTAGGCGTGCCAGACATCTAAGGGTGTATTCGCAGAGATTTAGATCGATCCAGAGATTTAGATTTAGATCGACCTAACTCCCTGGGGGTTCATGCTAAATTGCAGTCGGCCGAGCGCGCACCATAGTTAATTACCCCCTTACAGCTTTTAGTAGGCGGGACAGACACTTAAGCCGGCTAAGCTGACAGTAATCTAGTAAGACTCCCCACAGGGATAGATCGATCTAAAATCTATGGAAATGGGTTCTAAGCCTCTCGAGCTGAAAGCAATTTAAAGCGAGAATCCCCTCGGAGACGGATCGATCCTGTTAGATCGGTCTAGGTATGGGAACCCAGTCTTACTTTTTTGGACACCATTTGTGGGAAGTTCAAGGGAGGCAGACCAAATGTAACCCATACAGGTCAGTCGATCACCATTATGAATGACACTGTTCTGAGACCAAATGCGAGTGCAATCAAGTGTACCAGGGATAATGAGATAGATGCAACATTGGTTTGAGGATGTCGCTGCCATTTCGTAAAGGTCGAAGAATGATGTTGGTGATGATGATGGTGATAGCAGGTACATGCATCAGTGGGACAAAGTGAAATTCAAAAGTCTTCTACTACATGTAGGCCTATAAGTAGAGCATATACATCATGAAAGTCACTTTTTCAGTGACATTCAATTTACATGTAGGCCTACCTTCATTGCAGGTGGATTCCGGCTGGTTTTCTTCCGGCGGCTTTTTTCTGACTAAAATGGCCGTCAAAACTAGTATGTCAGATAGAGCGACTGAAACCGGAGCTATCAAATACTTAATGTAGAACTCGATTTCGTCCTTGTCAAAGACAGCGCGTGATGTGTCCGCGATGATGGCCCCGACATTTCTCCATACGTAATACCTGTGAATGATGAAGCGTGTTGGTAATCATATATCGGCTTTATTTATGCATGTCAAATAAATCATTAAAGGGTGCCCTTATACGATGTTTGCTTGAACACCTGAATGCTAAGATAACGAAATGTATTTCAATAAGTTACGCACAAATAATGGTTAACCAGAAAGGTACTTATCGTGAGAAGTATTTTAAACGCAGTTTATGTTACTAGATAACAAATCGTACAAATGTTCATTTCACACCTTAAATGTTGTAAGCATCATGAGAAGCAATATCATATTTATAACAGATGCAAATATTTTTTTTAATGCGTGGCGTCAGTACCAGTGAATAAATCGTCTGCGATCATTTTTGTCCGACATTTGTGCAGCGCCCACTACCGGCAAGACAGCCCCAATACAACCCTGTCCCAAAGCTGTAGTCACAAGTCCTGCTATGACAAGGTCTCTGGCTGCCGAAGCCTACAATATATCGTATACAGATTTCTCATATAGGCCTACTGTATTTATGGATATGGTGTTCTTTTGTCCCTGGTCCACAGAAGGGGTGCACTTGTCGTATATCAAAGCCATAAAGTAATTTTTTTAAAAAGCAATTCTCGAGTTCATAGAACAGCTTATTTTCCTCGATTGATAAAATGCTCCAAATGCTTATAAATGTAACACAGAATTTATCTTGACTCTACCTTAACATTTTTATCTTAAATATATAAATAAAACAGACAGAAAATTTCTCACAAAACAACTTGGCCCAGCATGTGAAGAAGCATCAAACAAAACTATATTACATATAGGGCCTGCATGTTAACTGATTCTGTTCAATACACATGTATATATGTCCAAAGGAAATTTTGGAACTATTTATCATAATCAAACATACGTCGTGTACATTGAGTCATGCACGTGAAATCAAAACGTATCAAATAATCAATGCTTGGTCACTACTTCCACATTTTAATCCTGAATGCAACAGGCTGGGATTACATGTAAGAATGCTGTGGAAAAGGTTTTACAGGAAATGTGGATAATTTTACGCATATGATAGTTTGGTTGGTTAATAAAGGGCCAATGCATTGGGAAGAAAATCAAGTTTGATATAAATTGCTGACAAGTTAATTAAATTTACTATCTGGAAGTTAAACAGGATTTTTTTTACAATATTTAATGTTAAATTTTACAATATTTAATATGCTTTGGAATATCCTTTGTAAATAACCGTTTACATGTAAAAATACAGAACACTTCTTTCTGGAAACGAATGGTCTAAGTCTCCGTAGCTATGATGTATTTAATTAAATGAAATTCCGTTAAAATATAATAGACAGTTCTTGAGAATATATGTACCATGTATCTAATAATATAAATCATTTAACAAATGAAACTTTATCGGATTACTTTAACATTACATTTGTCTCAGCTTCATATGTAGCACACTCCAGAAGAACAAGACCTGAGAATGAAAATAATATATTCAAGATATAGCCAAAGTGATTTGAGGTGTGCTCGCAAGCAAGCGTGTATATGTGTGTCGTTTTTAAGACTTTACCCTCTGTCACATTTGCCATGCGATGTAATGTCTCTTTTCGCACACGTCTGTGCGGAGGCGTGTAACGAAAGTGAGGGTCCGTGTAACAGAAAGTCCGCCCTCCATAAAGTAGTAATGGTTAGGGTTAGCCTGACCCACGTGGGTCAAAATCTAGGGCGAGGCTTACCTGTACAAACGAATGAGAAACGGACTCTCTGTCATGGGGGACACTCTGTTGTTTTACACCGGGAAATCCGGATTTAAGACCTTCGTAGCCTCCACGATTTTTTAAACTTATGCCAACTCTTTCAAACCGTATGCAAGTAGGTTCTGTGTGACGGTAATACCCCCGTCACACTAGAGGCAGAATGAGCAAGAATGCCGTCGGAAATACAATTCTTTATGCATCCCTGGATATTCAAAGAACATTCTAAAAATTCCGAGTGCATTTCAAATATTTTTACCCATTGTTGTGGTCGGCCCGAATGTTAAAAACTTTCGAAGTGCATTCCAAGTGGAAAATTATTGAATGGCATTTGAATAGTATTCTAACTACACTATGACTGCATTTTAAATATTCTCGCGGCATTCTGGCAGCATTCGAAACATTCCGATCACATTCGAGGGATATTCAAACTGGCATGTGACTTAAGGGCCCCGTCCCCTTATTCGAAACCAGCAGGAATCAAGCAGAACCAGCCAGAATGAATTAATTGAAAAATTCGTGCAACAATCGGGAGGGAATATTGCGAATGTTGTTAGAATGCAGTCAGAATAATCCGAATGAAATTCAAATGCCGTATCAGTGTGGTTTGACTGCTGGCCGAATACAGACTGAAGTAGGTCTCGAATGATATACGAAGCGAACTCAAATGCAGTTAAAATGCTCCCGGTATGGCTGCCAATGATGGTTTGAAATATAAAGAATTCAAACAGAATGCAGCTGAAATACCTTAAATACTTAAAATTACTTTCTAACATGTTTAGAATGTAACACGATGCCCAGAGTGTATAAATAACGCCAATGAAATGGTAACTTATCAGAATGTTTCGAATGCTGTTGGAATGCCGTGAGAATATTTAGAATGCAGTCATAGTGCAGTTAGAATACTGTTCAAATGCCATTCGATAATTTTCCACTTGGAATGCACTTCGAAAGTTTTTGACATGAGCAAAACATTCGAGCCGGCCACAAGAATGGGTAAAAATATTTGGAATACACTCAGAATCTTTAGAATGCTCTTCGAATATCCTGGAATGCACAAAGAATTGTATTTCAGACGCCATTCTTAATCATTCCGCCTCTAGTGTGACGGGGGTATAAAATCCCGCCAGAATGTTTCGAATGTGCCTCGGATGAGCTGAAATATTAATTTTGCCAGCAATCGAACTACACCAGTAAGCCATTCAAAGTATATTCTAAATATTCTTACTGCCTTCTGACAGTATTATAAATATTCGTAGTTTTCCAACTACATTCGAACTGCTTTTGAGAGCTAATACAGCCGAAAGTGCACTAATCATTCCAGGCGAATTCAATCGCATTCTGAGTATTCCAACAGTACTCTTACAATAATTAAGGTCAATTTGAACTTTTTCCCCGAATGTGGTGCAAATTTTAAAAATTCTTCGTTCACTCTCATTCTTCTTGATTCTTGCCGATTACGAATAAGTGTGACGGAGTTATAAAAAACCTACGGGTGTCAATCTTCAAGAAGGAGGAAGGCCTACGGTCACTATACGGAATCTGCACTGAGATTGAAA